AGGTTAAAATCGATTTAATTTGAAATTACAAAGACTCAAAATTGACATAATAGCCAAAACAACAGGACTAATAGTGTAATAGCCCACTTGTTAATATCTTTTAAATGTGACAAATGTACGCATTATAAGTACATATTGTCATACTTTTAAAGGTAAATATTAATTCAAAACTGTTCAACTCATTGAGTTAAACCTTCAACAAATTCTAGTGATAATTTTTTTACCAAAAATATTAACAGTTATTATTAATTACACTAAATTTGACACCAATTACAAGTTACAAGTGATTCAATAGAAATATAGGGTAAATTACACTAACACCCGCCTGAGGATTTATATTTATTACAGTTCCTCCCCTTATTTTTTGGAAATTTACATCTCCCCCCCTTAGGTTTAAAGTTTCATTATAGATTCCCCCCTTCAGAATTTAACCTTTTTTAAATAGCCAATTTTGGCCCTCACTAAGTAAATTTACATTGATACCTCTCACATTTTAGAAATTACATCCCTTGCCTAAGGTTTAAAGTTAGCATTACAAATTGCCCTCTCGGTTTGTATAGTTGGAAAAAAAAATTAATTCGAAAAAAAAATTGTTAGTAAAATTTTTAAATTCTGATTTAAAAATTAACAAACCTCATTTGTTGACATTTACGTTTTTTCCTCAAATTTCTACAAAATGAGACAACAATTTATAAACCGAAAAAAATATCAAACAGGTTTTTTAGTGACAGTTTTTAAATTTTTGTAAATATAAATTGAAAACTCGAAAACGAAATAGTTACCAATACAGGCCTTAGATGGTAAAAATGTCGTAAAATTAACAATCAATTAAATTAAGTTACTAACGCTAAAAATGACTTATCAAAAGATTCGTAGGGGTATGTATGGTTTATTTTTAAATTTTTTTTAAAAAAAATTAAAAATTTAATTTGGTTAAGAAAATAAAAAATAAAAAATAATATCATTTAACTTTTGGTTAAGTCTAATACATACGTATGGCTGTTTTGCAATTTTAATTTGTTAAAAAATTATCTCAACCACTCGAAAGTAAAAAATTATATTACAAAATGATAATTATTTTTTTTTTTTTTATTCTTTAACCAAATTAATTTTTAATTTTTATAAAAAAAATTCTAACAAATCAAAGCTATACCATAGCCTAAGAATATTTTACTAAGTCAATTTCTTACGGTTGGTAACTTATTTAATTATTTGTTAATTTTACGACATTTTTACCACTAAAAATCTGGTTACGTTGCGTTTGGTAACCACTTACGTTTTCTGGTTTTCTGTTTATATTGACAAAAAATTTAAAAAAACTCAAATAAAAACTTGCTTTGGTAAAATTTTTTGATTATATAAACAGTAGTTCAGTTTTATAAATTTGGGCCAAAAAATGAACAACACAAAAAAAAATGTCTGTGTTTTCCATTTTGAGTTTTTCAGTTTTTTTTTTTTTTTTACCACCCCAATACTAGCCACCACCCGCACAATCTTATCCACCACCGTCTTCCGCCACACCACCCACCCTACCACCACCTCCACCACCAACTTCACCACCACAACCAACCCACCACCCACCATCCACCTCTCGCCACTCACCACCACCACCCACCACCCACCTGTCATTAAACCCGCTACCACCCACCACCTCGCCACCCGGCTACTACCATCCACGCCCGCACCACCACCCGCCACATCGCTTGCCACCACCACACACCACCCACATTGCCATTCACCCGCCATCCACTTATTGCCACCAACCTCCCACCCCCACCTACCACCACCTCTCCCCAGCCACCAACCACCCCCCACCCCCCCGGCCACCACCAGCCACCTGCCACCCCCTCGCCACCACCCCCACTTGCCACCACTCACCACCCACCATCCATCACCCGCCACCACCACCCACTCGCTACCACCCACCATCCGCCACCGCCACCCACTCGCTACCACCCACCATCCACCACCGCCACCCACCCACCCACACACCCACCACCACCCGCTACCACCACCTGCCATCCGCCACCCACCTGCCACCCGCCACCACCACCACCACCCACTCGCTGCCACCCACCACCTGCCACCGTCACCACCCACCCGCCACCATCAGCTACCCACCACCCACCGTCATCATTTTCCACCATCGTCTTCCACCGCCACTTGCCGCCACTTGCCACCACTTGCTATTTCTCACTCTTTTTATGTTTTTAAATTTTTTTAAATATTTTGTCAATTACCAAACGCGTTTGCAGTTTATGTTTTTCTAAAAATAAACAAAAAATAAACAAAAACCAGTTTATAAAATTTTTGTAAATATAAACTGAAAACGTAAACGTTACCAAACACACCTTTATATTTACAAAAATTTAAAAAAATGTCATAAAAACTTGTTTGATAATTTTTTTGGTTTATAAATGGTTGTCTTAGTTTGTAAATTTGAGAAAAAAACGTAAATTCAAAAAATGAGTTTACGTTGATTTTTAAACAAAAATTAAAAAATTTTGCTAACAATTTTTTTTTTCAATTAATTTTTTTTTTCAAATAATTTTCTTTTTCGATTATTTTTTTTTTCAATTAATTTTTTTCCAACTAATACTAACCGATGGGACAATTGGTAATGCTACTTTAAACCTTAGGGAGGGTATTGTAATTTCTAAAATGTGAGGGGTGTCAATGTAATTTACCTAGTGATGGCAAAATTGGCATTTAAAAAAATGAAATTGCTGAGGGAGAATCTGCAATGAAACTTTAAGTCTCAAGGGGAGATGTAATTTCTAAAAGGTGAGGAAAAAATTATAATAAATATAAACTTTAGGGATTGTCAGTGTAATTTATCCAAAAATATAAGGACCAAAATTAGTATTTACTTTTTTTATTTAAGATATGAACAAACTCTAGTTTTTTTTCCTTTCTATATTATACAACAAAGTAAATAACGAAACTGAAGAAACAAACCAAATTTGATACAGCAAAATCCGGATACCAGATCGACATAGAGACAGAGAAGGAAGTCCAAAAATTTTGAAATTGGTGAAGTAAATTTGATTTTGGCGGGTCAAAGAGACGAGAGCCAAATCATGAAGCAAGGTTTTATCAAATGCCCTCCTTATCTACCATCTACCCCACAAATTTCATGTGTTTTCATCTTCTACGATCAGAGTTCATTAGGTATTCTTTCTCTCTTTCTCATTCTCATCAAACACACACAATACCTCTATGTTTCTTACTTATTTATGATCTTCTTGTTTTAGGCATAAAACTTGATATAATCTGAAAATCTAATTTTGTAACTCATGAATTTATTAATTTTCATCTTTTAATATAAAAAGTTAGTTGTAATTTACTATTATTGTATTTATGTTGTGATTGTATATAATGTCTTGCAAGTGTTTGTTTAAATGCTTCAGTGGAATTTTGCGTTAGGTTGCTCTTTTTTTTTTTTTTTTTTTTAAACAAATTACTCAGTTAGATCACATAAACAAGCATCAGTATACCAGACTATGTGGTCAAGTTTCTTAGTTTAACTCTCAAGGTATACTTATAAAGTAGTTTCGTTGATGAACTTATTATTGTTTATTAAGATTTATGAGGGGTAGATGTGGATGATTTGTGAGGTTTTTATAGGCTAGCTTATCATTAAAATGAAAATAATAATAACAATGATTCTCTTTCATGTGATTGGCAAGGTGAATTATTAAATTTCCAAGCTACATTATCTGTAAATAGTATACGAATTGAGATTATACGTAGTATTGCCCTGTAAAAAATGAATTCTATTAGATCATGGAGTCATTATTACCTGTTGGGTGCAAAACATATATTAAGTATTAAAAAGTGGAATAAATTAAAGAGAGGCACATAAATAGCTGATGCATTTAATGCATGTCCAAGTGGCAGTGACCACTGTCCTATGTGAAAATACAACGGCGTTCATCGCCTATAACAGTTCCGCTATCCAAATGAACATAAATTGATTATATTTAACCCATGTAGTTTCTAGAAGAAAAAAAATTAGAAGTAATTATTCATATTTTTATTATCTTTCTTCAATTGTTTCTAAAACCATTACAGATATATTTTCCACACTATGAATTCATCCAAATCGCGAATTTGTTACCAAGTTTTCAAGACAGATATAAAAAATAAAAACTGAAAGAAAAGTGCATGATAGATATTACAAGAAAACCATAGAAATGCAAGGGAAGCTAGTAAGTACATACATTGACCGTACAGTCTGCATAGAACAATTTGAGAAACTTGGCAGTGAGGCTCTTATCCTTGCTCCAATACAACTTCACTTGTTGCCTCACAAACGGTTCCACATTGGCACACGTATTGTGGTTCTTTTAATAATGCCTATTCAAGGGGACATCCTTCGGTGGCAATGTCACCGCAGCATCCACCACCACTGCCACCATCCACCATGAGCTCAGTGCAGTGCAGCTATGAGAGGAAGATGAACCAAAGGTACCCCATCACCTCTCCTCATCTTTTTTTTTGAACCGACCTCTCCTCATCTTCAATAATATTAACTTAGCACAACTCTCTTTGTCTTCTGCACTGCACTGGGCTATGACTATAGCTTTCTATTAGATGCAATTGTATAGAGCCTTAGACCATTGAAAATTTGACAATGTCAACCTGGCTTGACCAAACAAGGCCAACTTGGGTTATCATAAAATAAGATATATACCTTATAGTTCTAGTTAGTTCTTTTGATCCACCAATAATAATGATATTACTTGACTAATCCATTCTAAAATGACTATATCTTAATTAAGTGTAATTTATACATTCTAAAATGTCAATATCTTAATTAAGTATTATAATCAGTCATTTAATTAGGGTTTAGCATAGAACGCAATCTACCAAATATGTTTTGCAAGTAATTGTATTGCAAGTTGCAACATGACAACTTGAGAATAGCCCTTGATGTGGCATGGCTCTAGTTAGAGTGCAGAAAACAACTATCATCATTGCATATCCTTTGTGTGGATACAGAGAATGAATTAGTTCTTCATCATACTGGTCTATCACAGATTAATACTATTTTTAGCTAGTTGTTATATTCACTTCTCATGTTGCTTGTAGCAGTTCATTTAACAAATTAATTGTTGAGGATTCAACATTTGCAGTTTAGTCTAGATGGTGCTGTGAATACGGGGCCTTGTAGTATTCCTCTTTTATATATATTTTTTTCTTTTTTTCTTTGTTGTGATTGTTTGAGGTAACAACCATCAATATACCAGACTATGTGGTCAAGTTTCTTAGTTCAAGCCTCAAGGTATACTTATAAAGTAGTTTCATTGATGAACTTATTATTGTTTATTAAGATTTATGAGTGGTAGATGTTGATGATTTGTGAGGTTTCTATAGGCTAGCTTATCATTAAAATGAAAATAATAATAAAAATGATTATCTTTCTTGTGATTGGCAAGGTGAATTATTAAATTTGTGTGCTTCACCATGGCATTTTCTAGATAAAATAAAATGTATGATCAACATGTACACTCTTTCACATCATATTTTAACTAAAAAATAAAAATTTATTAAAAAGTTAGCTTTCCAAATGAGCCTTTTCAAAATGGTGCGTTTTTAAGAGGTATTAGTCTAGAGATCACTTTATTTTGTTCGACAAAGAAGAAGCTTTATAGATGTAAGAATCAAGTACAATGTACAAAACAAAATACATCAATAAAGAAAAGGGACGTGCAAAAGCATCACAATGAGCTAAATCATCCCAACTTGGTTGGCACCAAAAAGCCCATCCTATCATTTGCTAGCACCCCCAGAGTTAGTGAGAATCCAACGAGAAAATAGACCAATACAAATAAAAAAACAGACCTAAAAAAACAGTCACCAAAACAGCCACCAAATCAAATAATAGGATGCTTGGCAGACCAACAGGTCAAACACAGATCAACACAGATAGATAGACAAGCCAATTCAAATAACAGCCACCAAATCAAACAGAACAAATTAGACCAACTTAGCAGACCAACAGACCACAACCTAAGCAGCTAAAAAGCAAAAGGCAGTAGAAGCAAAATTAGAAGAATCAGCACATATAGATAGGAAAACAAAGATCCACCAAAATCAGCAACCCAAATCAGTCACTGGCCTCAGCAACCAGACAAGGCCACACCAAACTTGAGGCAAAATTTGACCAAAGAGACCGAAGAAAACACCTCAACAACAAAAGCACAACAAGATCTACCCACAACTTAGCATATCAAACCAACAAATCAATTAAGCCACCTATCCTGTTTAACAATCACCAAAACTTGCAGCTAGCTGCTTCCATACAGAATCTGGACCAAAAGCAGCAGCCACACCACAATCAGCAGACTCAAAAGTAGGTAGCTGCTTCCATACCTGATAGCAGATCAATACCTCCAGTTTTGATGCAATACCTCACTTGCTGCAGCTTAAATACCAAATCATTTATAGATACTCAACTACTTTAAGTAAGGTCAATCACAGCACAAAAATCAGCTACTTAATTCGATTTGATTAAATCAGTTCACCATACAAGCACAAAACAAATAGCCTCATGACCATATATCAGTACAGTCTAGTATATCAGTAGTGCACAACATTTCAGCCTAAGATTACTTGACTTGTATTGGACTGTTGAATTGTATAATAATCCTCACATTGGTATAATGGATTGATTTGTTGTTGTTGAGCAAGCATGAATGTTTCTGACTCATTAAAATTCCCATTTCATATGGTTATTCTCTTGAAAAACTAGGCTTTATTATTTTGCTTGTCCATTGACATTATAACTTATCATCTTACCTTGCTGTATGCAAAGATTGATGACTCTAGTACACCAACCTGACATGCCTTAAATTTTTTGTGTTGTACACAGCTCGATTTATTGACACTTGCTCTGCTAGATGAAATTTTTTAATTTTCTGGTTTGAGAAAAAGGTCTTTGTACTGTGTATCAATGTCTAACAGACCTTTCAAATTTTTAAATTTGAAGGTCTGTTAGATATGATAGTTTAGATATGGGTTTCAAAATTGAAATTGAGAGCTTTACCTTAGTGGATTTAAATACATATATTTTTACTCTATTTAATCTTCCATTTGAGTTTCTCAATCTATCTATAATCGTTTACTCTATTAAATTTTTATCCAAATTTAATCTCAAAATCCTTTCATTTGCAACTCACAATCCAAATGAAATCAAAAAGTTTGCAGCAGTAGGATACATACCCCAGCAAAGATGCAGAACTCTTGAGCACATGAAGAGGGGCATTATCACCAATCATAATCTTCCTTATTGGTGTGATTACTCCAATCAAAAGCCCAGTAATCTGTGACACAAAACAACAACAAATGTTAAGCTAGAGGAAAGAATTGAACAACCTACTTGATTAGCAACACAAGGATGTAACTCTTGAAAAATATTATAAACATCAACAGGATTGTATGGATGCAATGGTTGATGGTGCAAACAACATCTTCAAGTTGATCTTTTCCACAAAAATCTTCACATCCTTCTTAATCTTATTGAAAATCGGCACCTGTCAAAGGATAAGGTTCGCGGCTGCTCTATAAGTAATTAGAAATCGAATTGTACATATACCCATGTTAAATTAATACATATTACTTCCTCCAATTTTTATTATCATTATTTTTTTTTAAAGTTAAAAATTGAAGTCTACAATAGGTTTTTACTGGTCACTTGAGTGCAGATCCTCTCCCTTTGCATTACTCTGCACAACCGCATCTCAAAAACAATTGGAATCAACTGAATCATCTAGTGGGTCAATTTGATTACATTGAAGCCTTTTGAGGACATCTTGATTGAATTTTTCTTTTATTACAAAAAAGAAAAGACATTTGAAGACACTCCAAAATTGCTCAGAAAACCAAAAAGCTTTCTCTGACAATAGGAGGCTAAAAAATATATCCTACGCAACATTCTAGAAAAGGAAACTCTCACAACCCGAGAGCCTAGGAAACAAGCAAACAAAACAATAACTCTCACAACTCGAGAGGCTATTTTTAGTGGTTTTTTAATTTTTTTTTTTATACAAAAAAAGCGTGTAAAATAGTAGAAAGAATGGGTTGACTCTTTGAAGTGAATTTTTGATGTTTTTGTGTTGTTCCCTAACAACCCCTAAGTAGCCTTTAAAATTTGCCAAGGTTGGTGCATGTCTGACTTGTATTGAAGGGAAGGTGAGCGAAGTTTGGGCCTTCTAACATTATCATAAAATTTAAGCTACCAATACCCTCTAACAAACTTATAAGAAAGTATGAAAACTAAAGACTTAGTGCATGAGGCTCCCGCTAAAGCGAGGTTTGGGAGGGCAAAATGTACGCAGTCTTATTCCCATTTTTATAGAGCTTGTTTTTGATTGAATCTGTGCCACCAGGGATGCTAATAAAAAAAAGAAAGCAACCAAAGGAAAAATAGGATTTCAACAACATTGAAAAATCATTTTTCAGTTTACAAGTGAAGGTAGGGAAATAGGGAGAGATATCATTACTTTATCATCAGATTCAATGAGAGGCAGTTGAGCTTGAGCTTCAGTGTCCCTAGAACTTGGGCAATCATTTGAAGGTAATGCCTGTGTGAAGCTCTCAGAGGTTTGTCTAGGAGATTGAGACTTCATGCCAATAATACTGGAAGAGCCATTTATGTTGATTTCTTCATTGCTCTTACTTTGAGATACCTGCATGATGTTATATACATAAGACCATATATAAACTGATACTGTCTAGAATATCAAAACAACAAATTATAAGACAAATTGAAATGCTCCATGGATAACAGTTGAATTATCGTTTGATAACATTTTCGTTTTTTATTTTCTGTTTTTGTTTTCTTGAAACTAGAAATGAAAACTTATTTAGTATATTGTTTTTGGTTCCATAAAAGTGGAATTGATTCTATTTTTTTTTTTTTTTTTAAAGTTTAAAACAACTTTCAAAGAAAGTTTTCGCTCTCCTCCCTTTCCTACCATCTCCGTCCACCACCTCCAGCCATTGGTCACAGACAACCAATTTCTGGCAACCCTCTGATTGAGTACATTTTTTTAATTTTTTTTTAACTAAAAAAAATTCCTTACTTCTGGTTTACATAAACCTGTGACATCTTAGCAAAGGCATTTGTTTAAACTGAAATCACAATGTAGAGACAGACATTATCGCCATAGAGTGGGATGTGTATGCCTGTCCATTAGTTGAGCAGGTTGATGAATCTCCAAATGGACTATTTTTCTCCTCACATACTGCCGGGATGATAATTAGAAGCAAGTTCCCCAAATTACCTGTACAGTTCAATCCCCACAAAAATTGTGATTGAAAAAACCTAAGAAGCACGAAGACTATGTCATGGACACGTGACAGGACATTTAATTTTTCAAAAATTATAGGACATGAGGACCATCTGCAAATATATAAATTTATATATTTATTATATATGCATAAACAATTATATTATGTCATTCATAAAATAAAAAAATAAAAAATATACCCACTTTAGTCCATGATGTATAAGGATCCAAATAATAGCAAACTACGTCAAAATATATACAATATCAAAACAAGTTCAAATCATGTGAGTCACCAACGAATTATAAGCAAAATGCCCACAACAATTTGGCACCACAACTATCCACAGGTACAATGTTTTAAGCGGCCAAGTGAATACACATTTACAATTTGAGAGAAAGATTTTTGCAATTTTTTTGGAGATGTTGATGTACCTGCTTAGCAGCAACCAATCACGTAGCCATGAAAATGTTTAGGAGTTTTGGTGATTTTGAACCAATAATAAATGTGAGGAGGATATTCAGAGGCATGAACCACCTACACATTAAACCCAAAAATTAAATAGCAAAATAAAGAGGAATTTTAAAAAAAGAAGAAAAAGAAGAAGAAGGTAAATAGAGAATCTACTCACAAAGAAACTATATCGTTTGCTTTGATTGTACTGGACAGATTGCTAACAATAAGTGCAAGGGGTGAACACATAGAATACTAGCTGTTCACAATCATGAAGTAATTGGATTAAAAAACCAAAATTTTGAATCAATCCTAGCTTCAATAGCAACATGTGCTATTTTGCTGATTTACTGGTTACTAATTAGATGTAATCGGTATAGAACCTTGATGTCATTTTCTTACATTGATATATAGAATGAATTGCTATTGAAATAATGTACAATGCTTTCTTCACATTCCTAAAGCTCCACTACCATATGAATTGCTATTGAAATAATGATATTGCATTGACTTTGTAATACTTAAATTCTTTTATATGTTTTCTCTTGACATGATTAGCTTATAGTCATGCACCAATATATTATTAGAGTTATGTTCTACATTGTTGTTAGTATCTTATAGTTCTTGCAAAATAAAGTTTAGTTGTTTTTGTCAATCATAACTTACAAATACTTGTTATTGATATATACATTTTTTAATGTTCTAGAAACACTTTGGACACTTGTTGAATCGAAATTGTTTACTTATGGATAAGACATGGATGTATCGATCAAGATTAAGTGATGCATACCAGAAAGGAGTTGACATGTTTCTCGATTTTGCATTTACTAATGCAAGTTATGAGGATAAGATCATATGTCCATGCATCAAGTGTGGACTTGCACTTCCCGTCACTCGGTCAGTTGCATATGATCACTTAGTATGTGATGACTTCACAAAGGGTTACACTAAATGGGTTTTACATGGTGAAGCATCATCTGTTGCTACAACAGGTCTTGATATGCACAAGTAGAATGAGCCACAATTAATATTGATACGCATGGATTAGTACACGAGGCATTTGGAATCTCAAATGACGATGACAGAGTCGATGGAGATAACCCCGTAGATCTAGGAGATAAACAAAATCCACAAGCAGAGAAGTTCTAGAATTTGATACATTTTGGACAAAAGGAGCTTTATCCTGTAGGAATTTTACAAAGCTCTCATTCATCCTTCAGTTATTTCATATAAAGAATTTAGGTGGATGGAGTAATAAATCGTTCACCATGTTATTAGAGTTATTGAAGGAGGCATTCCCAGAGGGTGTAACACTGCCTAATACTGTTTATGAAGTTGAACATATAGTCATGGAGTTAGGACTTAGTTATTCATGCATGTCCCAATGATTGCATGTTGTATAGGAATGAGCACAAAACTGATTCTAAATGTTACGTTTGCCATACATCTAGGTATGTAACAGAGCAAAATGATTCAGGCAACGAGGCATCCTCCAAAAAAGGTAGCTATAAAACACCTTCTAAGGATCTACATTACTTTTCTTTGATACCAAGGCTACAAAGGTTATTCATGTCATCCAAAACAGCATCATCTATGAAGTGGCATAAATGTAACGCCCTCAAAATAAACTCATAAATCATGCTATCTAGACATGCTTAGACATAAGAGAATAAAGCATAATTTCATTCATCAGAGTAATCATTACAAATGTATTACATGTTGACATAAAAAGTAAATGCCATACGGGCTTACAACTTTCTAAATCAATACTTGGTTACAAAAAGAGAGTACTAACTCAAAACACAAAATAAGCCCTTGGCTAGATTTACATGTAATACACAAAAATAAACAAGAGCCTTCAACTCCCATAACCATCCAAGCTAAGACCTCGGAGGCGGCATAATACCTGAACCTGAAAATGATGTCCTATATAGGATGAGCCAACGCCCAGTAGAGATATGCTAAACATAATATGAGCAATGACTAAAACATGAGCATTCGATAACTGTTTAACTCATATAAATTAACTCATTACACATTTCAGTATATGTCCATGCTTCATTCTATTTTTCTTTACTTATCAATTTCGATTTATAAACATGGCTCAGAACCTGGCTAAACAATTCCCATGAGACTACGGCTCATGTTAAAAGCTTTTCCAATATCAACAAATTTAAATGAGATTATAACTCATAACAAACACTTCCATACTTCACTCTAGATACACATATTTGCTGTATCAGTGTCATTTTCAAACACTTCCATACTTCATAAATGATACACAAATTCACTATATCAATGGAGTCCATCCCCTATCTCCTCCCAAATAACATCTGGTTTAGGAGTCCATCCCCTATCTTCCCCTAAACTGTGGAGTACATCCCCGATCTCCTCCCACACAAAACAATGTATATAAACAAGTATCATATACACGAGCAGTCAATACATAAATTTGATGTATTATTCCAACCGTCATGTTCGATAACATAATCAATTGATTAGTTTTAATTCGCCTAATCATCATGCATTATCTACAACAATCAAGATTATCCTCCACCGATAGCCCATAGTAATTTATTTCTAAACAAATAATAAATGCATCAACAGATAATTTGACAACAATTTCATAAGTGAGCGATTAATAAATCCAACTCCACCATTCCCTCTTATAATGAGCCAATTTCATTATTTCCTACTCAATTTCATATTTCCATAACATTCCCAAATTAATTATATAAATTAATTCATACAACAATTTAGGGTTTTCTCCCCCATTTTCTCTACAATGATCCAAAGGTCCCATATATCATCAACAACATCAATACCATCATTTTAAGACCCAAGATACACATTTATGGGTCAAAATAACCAAACCCCTCTTTATTCATTTTGAAACCCTAACACCCAAAATTACCCAACTTCAACATTACATCAAAATGACCACTAGTTTATATCAAAGACCATAAAAATGAGTAGTTATCCCTACCTCAAATTCGGAGCTCAAAGGAGAAGATGAAGAAATTTGAAAGTGCTTCAAACCCCAATATTTTCAGATCAAAATGTAGCCCTCAACAAGCTCCACACTTTTTAAAAAGGCCCAAGGATAGAAGATCACTCCTACTAGATCAAACCCTAGAGAGAAGTGGGAGTTTTAGAGTGAGGTGCTCTCCAATGGAGGTTTTGAAAAGGTAGGAGAGAGAAGGAAAGTCAAAAAGTGATCCAAAATGTCACTTTTTGGACTGATATAAAAGTCGCCCCGCTCGAGCGTCAGACACAGACTCACGCTCGAGCGTGAAAAGCGCCGCTCGAGCGTCGATTGCACACTTCCAGAAGTTTTGCAGACCATGGTCCTCGCTCGAGCGTACGATGACCTGCAGAGAAAAAAACTGGGAGATGAATATTCATGCTCGAGCGTCAAAACGCCCGCTCGAGCGGATAGACAACAACAAAGGGACCACTCGAGCGTCAAAATCCCCGCTCGAGCGTGAAGGCCAAAATCTGGGTATCAACTTTTGGTTTCTAAACACAACCAACTTGTTCCAAACCTGCTCAACACAACCCAAGACTCAAATACAAAGAGTAAAGGATGAAAATGAGAACAAGACAACAACATAACCACAGAACCAAGTCCGGAATAATAAACAAAGGAAGGAAAAACCGGAATCGCTATAATAAAGAAGGTCGCACCAATGATGGTTGTATGAGACATCCTGCTGATTCTCCAGCTTGGATGACTTTTGACCACCTACATCCTGATTTCGCAGCAAATTGTAGAAATGTCATACTTGGGTTGGCGTGTGATGGTGTGAACCCTTTCAGAACATTGAGTAGCACGTATAGCACCTGGCCTGTAATTCTTGTACCATATAATTTGCCTCCATGGATGTGTATGAAGCAGACCAATTTTCTATTATCATTGATTATCCCTGGTCGTAGTGCACCTGGAAATAATATTGATGTGTATCTGCAACCTTTAATAGATGAATTAAAGGAATTATGGGTGGATGGAGTAGAGACATGATGCATCAATTAAACAAAATTTCCAATTGCGTGCAGCATTAATGTGGACTATTAGCGACTTCCCTGCTTATGCTTATTTGTCAGGATGGAGTACTAAGGGGAAGTATGCATGCCCTTCATGCCACAAAGACACATGCTTCCAGTGGTTGAAGCATGGCCAAAAACATTGTTACATGGGTCATCGTCGATTCTTGGACAAACATCATGCATTCCGAGATGATGAGCAATCTTTTGATGGTACTAAAGAAAAAAGAACTGGACCCAATCCTTTAACTCGTTCTATGGTATTGGATATGTTACATGGCTTCAATATCAATTATGGAAAGATGAGTACTAATCCAGAATTACCATATAGTTGGAAGAAAAGAAGCATATTCTTTGAATTATCATATTGGAAGGATAATCTAGTACGTCACAATCTTGATGTGATGCACATTGAGAAAAATGTATGTGAGAACTTACTTGGAACACTACTGAATTTAGAGGGGAAGACAAAGGATAATCTAAATGCACGTCTTGACTTGAAACTTCAAGGTATAAGGCCTAAACTCCATCCAAAAGAAAATACAGCAAATAAAACCATCTTGCCTCCTTCTTGTTTCTCATTAAAGAAACAAGAAAAAGATGCTTTCTGTAAATTTTTGAAGACTGTTAAAGTTCCTGATGGTTATGCAGCGAATATTTTACGATGCATCGACTTAAAGCAACGTAGAATCTTTGGACTTAAAAGTCATGATTGCCATATTTTGATGCAATAATTACTCCCTTTAGCAATTCGAGGAATGTTGAGTTCACGTGGAACTTCACCTTTGATTGAGTTGAGTAATTTCTTTCGAGAGTTATGTTCTAAAGTTGGTTTGGCACAAGACTTTATGCGTCTTGAAAGGCAAATTCCGATAACACTTTGCAAGTTTGAAAAAATATTTCCCCCTAACTTTTTTGATATTATGGTGCATTTGGTGGTTCACTTAGCATCTGAGGCTAGATTAGCAGGACCTGTGCATTATCGTTGGATGTATTTTGTTGAGAGGTAAAGTTTATACTAAATAACATATTTCTTTACCATCATTATTATATTTTACTTTTGTTATTATCGAACATCATTCAAAATTTTGTTTTTTGAACTTACCAAAACAGAGGTACTTGAGTAGATTAAAGTCATATGTGCGAAATAGAAGCCGACCGGAGGGTAGTATGGCAAAAGGATACCTTACAAATGAATGCTTGACATTTTGCTCAAGGTATATGGAAGGTGTTGAGACACGATTCAACCAGATGTCTCAAAATTATGATGAGGGGGGTAATGGTACCGAAGGATTATCTATTTTCTCAATGCCTGGCCGACCATTAGGTAAGGGCGTGATGGACACAATGGATGATGGCACAAAAGAAAAGGCACATTGATATGTGTTATTTAATTGTGAGACTGTCAACAAATTTATTGAGTAAGACACTCTACATCTGTAATCAATTTCATTATTATTATTATTATTATTATTATTATTTTACATTCTTTTTCCACACACTCACAAATCTTTTATATGGCATACAGACAACACCGTAGACTTGTTGCCATACAAAATCCACGTCTTCGTGAAATGGCCATTGATCGTATTCATAGTGAAACATTTCCGAGATGGTTTGATAAACATGTAAGTAGTGTTCTGAAGTTCCTTAAAATTTGACTTGATATTAACTTCAATTTCATTCCACACTTACAGAAGTTATGTTATCAATCGTCTAAAAACAGGTTGAGGAATTGCATAATGCAGGGGATAGTCAAATAACTGAAGAGCTTAGATGTTTAGATGTTTGGCTCGTGGTCCAAATAGATTTTTCACAAAATATAAGCGATACTTGATAAATGGTTTTAGGTTCCATACTAAGGAGATCGAGTGAAAGAGAAAAACTCAAAATAGTGGGGTTATTGTCATGGCAAAAACACGAAGCTTTGCAAGTGGTAGAGATGGAAATCCTGTCTCTGGAGATGTTACGTTCTATGGTGTGTTAACAGATATAATTGAGTTAGATTATTTGTTTGGGAAGAGGGTTGTGTTATTTAAAGGTGAATGGGTGTCACAATCAGGAAAAAGACAAGATAAAGATTGCACATTAGTTAACTTTGCACGATTAATGACAGATGCTGAGCCTTTTGTGTTGGCTTCTCAAGCAGAACAAGTAATGTATGTAAAAGACCTCAAACACAAAGATTGGCAAGTTGCTATCAAGATAAATGTGAGAGATTTTTATGATATGAATGTGGGGTCTTCTGTGGACAATGTGGAGGCATACTTGCAGAGTGTTGTATGCAATACACAAAGTGGTGATGGGGACAATAATTTTCATTTGGTTAGGACAGACATGTCTGCTGCAATTGTAGATGCACCACTTTCTCAGGTGTTGAGAGACAACAATGTTCATGATGATGGAGATGAAGAAGAATTAGATATTATGTGACTGTTAAACTTGTTGAACATTGCTAGTTATTTATATTTGAAAACAATTTTATAGTTTCCTTTCCCTCTCTTTCTTTATCATTGTTTTTGTCAATTTAATTGATTGTTTGAAGAATGAATAATGCATTTTACATCTAACTATGTCATTTACACATGTGGCTACAAAATATTTATTCACTATATGTTAAATTTAGTCACTATGAAGATAGCAACGTAGTAACGGTGAATACACAATTTTTCTTTGTTAATTTTTTTCAAGTTTTTTGTTCATTTGCAAATAATTTATTTGGATCATTATAAATTTACAATTTGACTTGTATATTTTGCTTGAATCATACTAGGATTCATATGTAAAGCAAAAAGCCTATGGACCCATATCTTCAGTTTCGCTCAGGCAATGTTGGTGAGTTTACTGGGTCAACTCCATCTGAGATTCAGCAAAACTCTAGTAAGCCCAATGATAATGCAGGTATGCAAATTCAAATCTTATAAAAATGCCATATTATTTCTTCATATATACTATATTAGTATTATTATTATTTATTTATTTATTTTTTATTTTTTTATAACTAGATGGTGCTAGTGAAAAAAAGAAAACTAGAGGTCCTACTCAAATGCGTAATATTTGGGGTACTCGAGATGATAAGTGCCTAACAGTCAATTGGATGACAAATTGGCAACAAAATTATCATCATTCATTGGAACTATTGTACGTGATGAGAAAAATGCACCACTCACTTACAAGAATTGGTATAAAGTCCCAGAATATTACAAAGATCACATATGGGTACTTGTACAGGTAAATAACATAATATTGTGCGAGATCACATGTGAAAAGTAGTAAACATGAGTAATATGATTAAAACCAAGCTCTTTATAATTTTTTGTAATTTTAATTTTGTATGTGGAAATATTAATTTTGTATTATTTTATTCTTCTTCTTCTTCTTCTTCTTCTTCTTCTCTCTCTCTCTCTCTCTCTCTCTCTCTCTCTCTCTCTTCAGTTAAAGTTTGATCTTCCAAGTCATGCTAGGACTTGGGTTATGAAGTGCTCTGGTAAGAAGTTAAAAGACTGGAAGGCAGACATAAAGAAAAATTATTATAAAAACCACTTGAGTTGTGACTAACAAAAGCATTATAAAGATAAGAGAGTATAAGCTGATCAGTGGAAACACCTTATTAAGTATTGGGCCATGTAACGCCCTCAAAATAAACCAATAAAACATACAATATTGACATGCTTAGACATAAGGGAATAAAGCATAATTACATTTCATCGGAGTAATTCTTACAAATATATTACATGTTGACAACAAAAGTAAATGCCTTATGGGCTTACAACTTTCCAAGTCAACACTTGGTTACAAAAGGAGAGTACTAACTCCACATAAAATAAGCCCTTGGCTTGATGTACATGTAATACAACAAAAATAAACAAAAGAGTCTTTAACTCCCACAGCCATCTAAGCTAAGATCTCGGAGGCGGCATAATACCTGAACCTGAAAATGATGTCCCATATAGGGTGAGCTAACACCCAGTAGAGATATGCTAAACATAATATGACCGATAACTAAAACATTAGCATTTGATAAATGTTGAACTCACACAAATCAATAACCCATTTTAATTACATGACAAATGTGTCCATGTTTTATTCCATCTTCCATTTCTTATCTAATTCTCAATTCATAACTATGGCCAAACAATTTAAATGAGATTACATCTCATATCAACCATACTTCCATTTCTATTGAGATAACAACTCATATTAGACACTTTGTACGTCACAATGGATACACATAATTGCTGTATCAATCTAAAACAAAACACTCCCATACTTCATAGATGATACACAGATTCGCTGTATCAATACTTCAATAGATACACATAATTGCTGTATCAATGGAGTCCATCCCTTATCTCCTCCCAAATAAAATCCGGTTTAGGAGTCCATCCCCTATCTTCCCCTAAATCGTGGAGTACATCCCCTATCTCCTCCCACACAACACAATGTATATAAACACATATCTTATACATAATCAATCAATACATAAATTCGATGTATTGTTCCAATTGTCATATTCGATGACATATTCAATTGATTAGTTTTAGTTTGCCTAATCATCATGCATTGTCTACAACAATCAAGACTATCCTCCACCGATAGCCCAAAATAATTATTTCTAGACAGATAATAATTTCATCCAATAGATAAATTATCAACAATTTTCAAAGGTGAGTGATTAATAAATCCAACTCCACCATTCCGTCCCATGTTATGCCAATTTCATTATTTCCAACTCAATTTCATAATTCCATGATAAATGTCATTAATTACACTAATGACCCAAATATACCCAAATATGGCATTTTCTTCCTTTTTCTCAATAATGACCCAAAGGCTCAAATATTGTCAACAACAACAATAATCCTTTTTTAAGACCCAAAATATACATATATGAGTCAAAAGGACAAAACCCCTCTTTTCAATATAACACATCTCAAACCCTAACTTCCCAAATCAAACCATTTATACAAAAAGCTCGACATTTATGTTAAAGTTCATAAAGATGAGTAGGAATCCCTACCTCGAAATGAAGAGCTCAAATGGAGAAGATGGTCAAAACCCAAAGTGCTCCGAATCCACAAATTTTCGGATTGATAGGTAACCCTCAACAAGCTCTATACTTTTTACAAAGGGACAAAGGTGTGAGATCACTCAAACTAGATCAAACTCTAGAGAGAAGGTGGAATGTAGTGAGAGAAGCTCTCAAAAATGGGTTTTTGAAAAGTAAGAGAGAGAAGGAAAGTGTGAAAAGTGATTTAAAATCACCCAGCTGCCATCTGATATACGACTAGTCCGCTCGAGCGGAGAATAGGACGCTCGAGCGGAGAACACAAAAACTGGACCCGCTCGAGCGCAAGAATACCCGCTCGAGCGCCAAGACACAACTGCAAAACACACCCGCTCGAGCGCAAAGGGAAACCCGCTCGAGCGTAGATTACCCTCTTCCAGTATTTTTACAGACATTGAACACCTGCTCGAGCGCCAAGGTACCCGCTCGAGCGTGAAAAACAAACCTGCAGTACTTTTGCAGAGGTACGAAATGCTGAAAGTGCGTAAACTCCGCTTGAGCGCAAAGGGACCTGCTCGAGCGGACAACCAAAAATCTAGGCAACAAGGAATGGGATTAAAGCGCAACCAACTTGTTCGAAACACGCCCAATACATCCTAAAACTCAAATATAAGGAATTAAAGGATGACAACAAGACATATACAACAACCAACCCCACGGAACCTAAGTCCGGATACAACAATCAAATAAGGAAGAACCAGGATCGCTATAGGCCATCGAAGAAGTAAAGGTATATTTGATTTTATGTTTTTTTTTTTACTTTCTATAGTTTGGGCGCCATTAATTTATGCATTTGTAATTTTAGGTACAAAGTGATAAAAACAAAGCAAGTCGTGCAGAGCGAAAGTATAATCATACTACTAGAACAAAAAGTTTCCCACGTGTTCGAAAGGAGCAGGTTAATTAATCTTTTCATATTGTATATTTAATATGATAATGTATGCATGATGTGACAAGAAGATATAATTTATATTTTAGAATATATTATTTTGTAGAAGAATAAGCTGGGACACTCTCCAACACGTGCTCACATGTTTAAAGTATGTTATACAAAGGAGACTGAAACCCCTGAGGCAACGAAAGTAATGATAGTATGTACCAAATAATTATCTGTCCATTTGAACTTGTAGATTAGTTAAAATTCCTACATTATAGTGTTGAGTGATTGAAATGTATATAATAAGTTATGTTTATTGCAACCTTATAGGATGAAATTAATGAGAGGACAACTTTAAATGCAAATTTATCAAATGAGGGCCCAAATGATACATTTGGGCAAGTGATAGGTAAAGAAAAACATGGACGAGTTCGCATATATGGATTAGGTGTCTCCCTGTCTAATTTATGGAGAGATACATCTGGCCATAAAGCAAACCAAGACATAACAATGGATGTTATGGAAGCTAAAAATTCTGAGCTAAGGCCCAAAGTTTCCCATGTTCAGCATGTTCCGAATAACTTGACAAACACATCTAACCAGGTAATTTTGTTAATAAAATTTATAAGTTATTAATGTTTTCCTACACATATATATACATACATATATCTATGTGTGTGTGTTTGTACAATTAATTAATTCAAATTTGATTAGGTCACAACAGCTTCTAGTTCTCTTGACATGGCAACTCGACATCAAGCATGGTCCTTGTCATCGATACAAGATGCCTCTCTTACTCAGGTATCCACTAAGAGCTAATCATATATATCATATTACTTCCAACTTTATTTTAGAATAACATGCAAAAATTGTCTTACAATTAACCAAGGAATGAATACTGTGGATCTAAATTTCATTGTTTAAATCTAGACAAATTGTGCTGCATAGTCAAAATCATGACATGACGAAGCTTGTGTTTTTTTTTTTTTTAATTTTTAATTTTTATGTTCTTGTCAAGCTTCAACAAGACATCTCTCCATCATTTATTACCACATGGGCTCTTTTTGATTCTCTTAAAAAATATTGCTTGAAAGCAATTAGTTGATTGTCATTTTTTACAATTACATTTGATTTACATTGTTGAGGTTAGGGGATCCTGATATTAATAATGGGCATGGTTTTGATTGTTGTTAATAGGTGTTTTTGGTTGTTATTGATTCTTTAAGCTATTATTTGATATGGTCTATTATATAATTTGTTGTAGTGTGGTGAACCAATTAAGTGATTAAATCATTTGGTATCTACTAGAAAAATGAATATCACTTTCAGTTGTTATCATCTTTACTCTGGCACTTTGTACTAGTTTATTTTTAAATATTATTTATTAATTGTAAATATATAATTACTTAAGCAATTAAATCTTGATTTACAGGTGGGGGATGTAGTTGTTCTAAAAAGTATCATTAGGCCAACAAAAACAGTTGCAATCAGAGTACTTAAAAGCACAGATGCATCTAAAGAAGTAGAAGGAGAAAAACTAGGACCTGACTATTGGAAGGTACATGTTCAAGTGCCAATCAAACCTAATGAGAGCTTGATCCGATCGTATGGACTTGTCAAAACAATTGGACAAGCTATTGGAGCTCATGTTGCTTGGCCTGCTCCATTTGTGGTATATTTCTTTCGTAAATAATAATTTCATTAACAAATTTTTATTAACTTAATATAGTGTCAATTACCTTTATAAGTTTATCTTTTGGATGTAGATTTCGCAACTTATGGATGCTAGTCGAGAATATTTGTACAAGTGAGGTTGAGAGTTTGGGAACTGATTTTATTTTTGATAATTTGTCTCTCCGGAATATGGATGTCACTATGGCTTTTCAAAACTTATGGTTGGCATAATTTTCTTAAATTTTTTTTTTTTTGCTTTAACTTTGTTAGTGTAGTAGAATATTTTATAATTTCGGCAAGGAAATTTTATTTCAATATAAATAAATTTATATTTCAATAATTAATAATTGATTGTGGTTTGAAATTTTTTTTTTATGTGATTATCCTATGGTGGTAATATTTGTTTATTGTTATGAAAATATTAAAGAATGAATGGATGTCAAATTAATATAGGATGTGGTGATTAATATTCCATTGCTTATAAAATTGATTCAATAAGTTCAAATATCGCTTATATCCATTTAATGACAAATGAATTGGATTTAATGGCATTTATATCAATTGTAAAATAACAAGTGTCATTAAAAATCCATGTAGTGGCATTTTTTAAATTGCAAAGCGTCACGAATAGTGTCTACCAAGACATTAAAGTGTCACTGAAAGTGTAGCCTTGATGGGGTAATGGCACTTAGAAGTGTCACTAACTCTTTTTTTAATGGCGTTTGATAGTGTCACAAATAGTAACTATCATGACATCAAAATGTCATTGAAAGTTTTAAGCCATGATGGTGTAGTGACACTTGCAAATATCTATCGTGGCACTAGTATCTACCGTGGCACTTGTTCGAAATGACACTTGTTCGAAATGACACTTATTCAAAATGCCACAAGACTAAAAAATATCATTAGAAGAATAGTTTTGCGGCTCAAGTTGAATGCTAGTGTCTCAAGTTGAATGCTTATTGTGTGTATAAGAATCTTAGGCCTTGTTTGATTCCACATGACTAATAGTGAAGTATAAATAATCCTATCAAATTAGTGTGGTATTCACAATCCCATCCCTACCCCATTATTAATAATCCTACAAATTTGTTGGATTAATTATCCATTGGATTAATAATCCTAAAACAAATTGTCAAAACAAACATGGGATAATTGGGCCCACGGATTAACAATCCCAATCCCATGCTCTAATCCTTTCAATCAAACATACCCTTAAAGTATTCATAATGTGGTTTAACATATTATAAATGTGATTTGAAAGTTCAAGTGTGAAGTAGTGATAATGTTTATTTATTTATTTACATCTTCTCTATTATATGGTTGAAATGAAGATCTTTATTTCAATTTATACGGTTATAGAACACATGATTCAACTTCAATCCAAAATCAAAGTCTGTAAATGTGATGCCAATATGAATTTTAAAATATCACTTAATTGTTTTAAATTTTCAAAAAATAAAGATATGTTAATGCAGTTGTTTCACAAAGACTGATCATGAAATAAACATCTACATCTCTATTGTGTGGATTTGTGATTTTGGTTCAAACAAACAAAAATTGAATAATAGTTTTTCTGGTTAGATGTCCAACTCAGGGAAACGAACAGAGAGAGTGAGAGACATAGATGAGCGATCTAAACAAACTAAGAAACAAAGTAACAAGCAGAAGCATATAAGCATTACAATATTAGCATTATACTAATGAAAATGTTCAATGAAAAATCAAGAGAAAGGAGACAAACAAGGAAAATCGATGCTTTACACATAAAAAAGGGTCGAACAAATAATTGGAATTCATGCTTACTTGATCTATTATCTATGGAATAGCTGGTGGCATTGCAGCGGTGTGCAGTGAGGATTTGGGCTAGGCTTTCAAATTTGGGGAATTTTGTGAACATGAAATTAGGGCTTGAAATGGAGAAGATTATAAATATATGAGAGAGAGGGAGAGAGGGAGGGAGGGAGGGAGAGAAATCAGAGAGGAAAATGATAGTCGGGCTGCCCATATAGGCTGCGTTTGGAAGAAGGTTTAGGTTTAAGTTTAGGTTTGGGTTTGGGTTTGGGGTTGGATTTATTTTAGATAAAATAGGGTTTTTAGTTCAATAAAATAAAATATAACATCTAATTTATAATTATTATAATTTTTTTTCATAAAAAATAAAAAAATTTAAAAAGTCCTTCTAAAACAAAACTTTTTAGCTTTAGGTTAAAATTGTCAAAAAAAACTAAAAAGTCAAACCCACCCCCAAACAAAACCAGAGGGAGAATTTTTTTCTATGTATTGGTAGGACGTGAGATTATCTTTCACCAATAATAGAAAATGTTTGGTGGCCCCAATTTTTATGATTCGAATGGCTCGAATGTGTTAAAATAACGTTGTTTTACACCCAAAGCAACGTCGTTTTTGGTGTTTCGAGTCATTCGAGTCATCATTTTTCGGGCCACTTAGCATTGTTGCACCAATAATCTATATAATAAAATAAGAGAATTTTTGAAAATATGTAAAATGTCTTAGAGATATATTTTGTTTTAAAAGTTGAGATTAATTCCCAAATTTATCCTAGGATAAAGATTTCTTTAATTCTCACTCATCCATCTTCTTTTGCCTCCTTTTTTTTTACTCATGCATTCTCTTTCTCTCTCCCATGCCCACCTTCCTCCATCTTGCTTTTTTATTTTTATTTTTATTTTTTTTATTTTTCCCCCTTTTCATTTTCCTGCATGTTTCTTTATTATTATTATTTTCCCTTCCTAGTCACTTATTTTATTTACACCGTATCTTCAGATACAGGCATACACTAGTAAATATATATGTCACTTATTATTTTTTTAAATATTCAATATAAATATAAATTTATTTTAAAAATTAGGTTAAAAATTAATTTTTTTATTTTTTTTATTTTTTTTAAAATGTATAAAAAAATAGAGAAATGATATAATTTTAAAAAATCAAAAAGTTAAAAAAAATTACTTTTAATCAAGTTGCCAAAACAAGTCATAATAAACCTTACTGTCAAAATCAATTACAATAGTAAAAGATACCACATGACATATACTCTATCCGTATACAAAAATTACTTTGATATAAGGATTGTTTGGAAAAATTTGTATAATTTTTGATTTTTTACGAAAAAATGTAAAATGTAGGTTGGAGTTAAAGTGATGTTGTAAAAATATAGTGATCCCGGATTTTCCTCTTTTATACATAGTTTTCCGGACTTGGGTTCCGTAGTTGAGTATTGCTATATATGTCTCTTTCCGTCCTTTAATTCTTTGTATATGAGTTTTAGGATGTGTTGGGCAGGTTTGAAACCGGTTGGGTGTGTTTTGAAACAAATGGTTGCTGTCCAGTTTTTGGTCTCTTCGCTCGAGCGAGGACTTTGTCGCTCGAGCGAGCCTTGTGTTTTTGCTTCTTCGCTCGAGCGAGGGTTTGTACACTCAAGCGAGTATTGTGGGTCTTTAGGTTTTCTTTTCAGACGCAGCCTTGGCTCGAGCGAGCTTTTCTTCGCTAAAGCGAGATTGGTCTGGTGTGTCTCTTCGCTCGAGTGTGCGTCTGCGTCTAGTTTGGACCTGAAGGTTGTGTTTCTTGGCTCGAGTGAGCTTTCCTTCGCTCGAGCGAGCGAGCTGTATGTTTTGGGTTTCTTCGCTCGAGGGAGGACTCTTGCACTCGAGCGTGCTTCTGGTTTGCAGACCTGAAGCTTCGTATTGTTGGCTTGAGCGAGGTTTCTTTGTGTCTGGTCGCTCGAGCGACCACTCCTTCGCTCGAGCGAGGCTCGAATATATCAGATCGCAGCAGCAGTCTTCTCTCTAACTTTTTGATTTCCTTTTCTTCTCAAACCCTAGATTGGCTGTCTCTCTCTCTATAATACATCTTCTCTCTAGAAAAATACTTGGTTCTTGGGTGTCTCTACCCTAGTGTCTTTGAAGAAAAGATAGAGCTTGGTATGGGCATCGCTTTGATCCGAAAAACATTGGGTTTGGAGCATCTTGGGTTTTTACCTTTATCTCCTTTGAGTCTCTTCTCTGGTGGTAGGGATAACCTACTCCTTTCTATGAGTTTTGACATAAATGTTGGGTATTTTGTATATATGGTGTTGTTTGGGGATTTTGGAAAAGTTTGGGTTTGATTTGAAGTTATAAAAGGGGGGTTTTTAATTGTTAAACTCCATGTGTATGTGAGACCTTGGAAAATGGAACCATTGTTGTTAAATTGGTAAAGTTGAGCCTTAGGGTTAATATTTGAAAAAGGGGGGAAATGCCCTAGTTATGTTTGAATAATTAATTTGGGGAAATATGAAATTGAGTTGAAAATCATGAAATTGGGAAATTATGAGATTGAATGGTGTAGTTGGATTGGTTAATCACTCACCTATGAGAATGTTGGTTAATTATCTGTTTGATGAATTTATTATTTGTTTAGAAATAATTGTTTTGGACTATCGGTGGAGAATAGTCTTGATTGTTGTAGACATTGCATGTTGATTAGGGAAACCTGAAACTAATCAAATGAGTTATGTTATTGAATATGACTGTTGAATGAACACATTGAATATGTGCCTGGATTGATCATTGTATATGATAAAGCGTTTAAATACGTTGCATATGTATCTTATTTGGGAGGAGATAGGGAATGTACTCTCAAATCTGTTTGGGTGGAGATATGGGATGGACTCCATTGATAGCTAAGTTGGCCGGAGTGTCTAGGGTGAAAGTCCTGAAATCTTAATTACGTTTGCATAGCGTAGATAATTGAAGTGTTGAAGTATTAACGTAATGAGCTATAGTCTCATTTGAAATTAAAGTGTTGAAGTGTTAATAATGTGAGTTGTAGTCTCATATTAATTGATCATGATCAAAGTATTGTTAATATGAGTTGTAGTCTCATTATAAACTGTCTGGATGAATATAGAACCATATCTATGAATTGGTTTGGGTAATGAAATGGAAAGGGATTGAAATATATTTGTGAATATGAATTGGTTATGAAAGAGATGTACGTTTGTTTATATGAGTGAAACATTTATCAAATGTTAATTTTTTAGTTATTGCTCATATTTGGTTTAGCGTATCTCAACTGGGCTTTGGCTCATCCTATATGGGACATCATTTTCAGGTACAGGTGATATGCCGCTTCCAAGGATGTAGCTTGGGAGGTTTAGAAGCTGAAGGCTTATTTTTGTGATTATCTTTTGGTGTTACATGTAAATTCAAGCCTAGGGCTTAATATGTAAAGAGTTAGAACTCTCTTTTTGTAACCAAGTGTTAGCTTGAAAAGTTGTAAGTCCGCAGGGCATTTACTTTTGTTGTTAACATGTAATGCTTTTTGTACTAAACACTCTGATAAATGGAAATGTACTTTATTCTCTTATATCTATGGATGTCATGAATGTTGGGTTTATATGTATTATTTTGAGGGCGCTACAAAAAAAGTGATGTGACCTAAATAAGAGACGATATGACCTAGATAAGATGATTGTGACTCAAATAAAATAATGTACTATTTTAACACATACCAAACAAACTCTTAATCTGGGAACCTCCTAATAGGGAAATAACTATCTTTGATAACTTATAATTGGAAACACTATGCACCTTAACTAAAAAGGAAAATAGTATAATTTTAATTTTTCGAATCATAATTTAATTAAAAAATGTCATAATTGAACACAACATGAGACATAGCTAAAATAATGTTATAACTAAAAAAAAAAATAGTTATAACTGAAAATGAAAATGACATAAACAAAGGTGTATATTAGAATTTCCCAACTTATGATAAAAAAAAGAAAAAAGAAAAAGAAAGAGATGATTGGGTAAGTTATAAGAAAAAAAAAAATATATTTTTTCATTTTTTTTTATAGTCAAGCTGCAGATATAAAGCTATGAATTTTTATTTTTATTTTTATTTTTTATACATAAGTGAGAAAATAAATAATATGATATTGATTTCTTTCCTATCTTGTTTGGTTACAGAAGAAAAAAAAAAAAAAAAAAAAAAAAAAAACAAAAATGATATAATGTTATATTACCAAATTAACCTTTTTATAGGTGTTAGTTGTTGCATTTATTTTCTGGTGTGGCCCAATAGCTTATATATCTTTTACATATTTTATTTTATTTGAACTCCCAAGAATTCAAGGTTCAATTATTAGGGGTATTTTCTCAACTTCTTTAACTCAATGGCTGACAAAGGTATATTCGTATTATTCTTGAGATGTATTGAATTCAAGATCCTAAAAGTTCAATTCCGTATTGTCATTATGATTACGTGTATATTAATATTAACATGTGGTATCAGAGCGTTAATTTTATGAATCAATACAGCTTAAAATAATAATCTGTGTGTTTAGTTTGGTTTTTTGGATTAAATGTTTTGAAAACTAAGTTTTTTATTATTCGTATTTTTTTATTTTTAGTGAATATTTTTAAAATTTTAGGCATATTTTTTACTTTTTTAGATATATCTTTCTTAAATGTATCTAAAAAGTAAAAAAAAAAAAAAAAATTACATATTTTAAAAAATTAATAAATACATTAAAATATGAAAAAATATATTGAATTCTCATTTTTTGTATTTTTGGTATTTAGTGAATTTTTAAAAGATTTTTTTTACAAAAATTATACATTTTATGTGTATTTAGGTTAGGTGTGTCTAAATATTTAAAAAATTGCTTAAAATATTAAAAAAAATCAGTAAAAATAAAATAAAATAAACACAAAAAATAAGAAGGTAAGATTTTCTAAAAAATATTTTCAAAAAATCAAAAACAAAGGAGGGAAATATATTTATGAATATTATTATTATAATTATTCATAAAACGATACATTTATTTTTATTATCGACATCGTTTTTTAAATACGATATATTTCGTTGTCGCATCTGGTTTTGGTCATCATGATAAACGTGTTAGGTGATGATTTGTTTTGCTTTGGTATTAGTGTTTTGGGTAAATCGATTTCTCTCGAAAAGGCTAATATATGATTCA